GAGCAGTACGGCCAGGTGACCAGCCCGCGCTCGGAGCACTATGCCGCGCCGCAGCTGCACGGCTACGGGCCCATGAACGTGAACATGGCCGCGCACCACGGCGCCGGCGCCTTCTTCCGCTACATGCGCCAGCCCATCAAGCAAGAGCTCATCTGTAAGTGGATCGAGCCTGAGCAGCTGGCCAACCCCAAAAAGTCGTGCAACAAAACTTTCAGCACCATGCATGAGCTGGTCACGCACGTCACCGTGGAGCACGTCGGCGGCCCGGAGCAGAGTAACCACATCTGCTTCTGGGAGGAGTGTCCGCGCGAGGGCAAGCCCTTCAAAGCCAAATACAAACTGGTCAACCACATCCGTGTTCACACGGGCGAAAAGCCTTTCCCCTGCCCCTTCCCCGGCTGCGGCAAGGTCTTCGCGCGCTCGGAGAACCTAAAGATCCACAAAAGGACGCACACAGGTATGCAAACTGCTGTAAGAAACCCTTCCCCATCCCGGGCCTGACACCAGAAATCCCGAAGTCATCGGCTGGGACCCACGCGCCCAGCTTCGGTGGGGTCTGGGCGTCAGGTTCCGGCAGGCAGGCAGCAGAAATGTGCGCTGCATTTAGTTCAACACTTGAAATTGTACTAAAACAGAGAAAGGGCTGCGAATGAGAAGGATGGGGGTTATAGAATTTTAAAATGAGGACTAAAAAGGTTCTGGAGAACAGGAAGCCAAGCCTGGCTTGGCAGAGCCCTTGACGCACTTGAAGCCCGGCGAGGCGGCCGGGTCTGGGTACCACGGAGGCGCCAGCCACTCCAGTTGCAGACAAACTAAACCCTTGCTCGTGGTCAACACCCCTCTCCACGACTTCACTGAGGACTCTGTTAAAAGAAAGGGCGAAAGAAGTTGAGGAGATCGGGTTAAGGGACATAGAAAGGCACAAAACAGAAAAAGACCGAAGGAAAAGGGGAGTGGTGGAAGGAAGTCCCGTGATTTGGAACTGAGGGGCTTTTGTATGTTTACGCATATATGAAAAGCTCGATTTTAAGTGGCGGTTTGCCAGAGGGCTTGAGGGATGAGGGGAGTCCGAGAAGGGCAAGGAAGTCCTTTTTGTCATGTAGATTCCATGGTGGATGTTTTAAAAGCACGGAGTACCCGAGCTGGCCTTTAAAAAGGAAGCAGGTGGAGAGCTGTTAAAAAAAAAAAAAAAGTTCGTGGCAACTCAGAGCTACAAGCTAAGGCAGACAAGACTCTCTAGGCCCCTTGCACCAAGAGTTGGGGAAAACGGTCTCCTCTGTTTGGGTACGAAGGGGTGATGTCTAAAAAAGGGGCACTTGAAACTTTCACTTCCATGCCTGAGTTAGGGAAGAATTTGTGGCGACTAAAGTGTGAACGTTTGTAGGGGGTGGGGGGTGGGGAGGTGATGAGGGGAGGAGAGAAGAGCAAAACAGCAGGAAAATCCAGCTGGAATAAAACTAGAAACCAGGAGCTAGGTAGAAGCAACCCTAAATTGAGCATATAGCCCTGGGCAGGAAAGCCAGCATCCAGATCTGCTGCTACTACGGAAGTTAAAAATCCACCACTACTACAATTATCATCACCAATACAACCTAAAAATAAAATGTAGATCTGATACAATTGGGATTTGGTTAGATATTTATATTTCACTGCAGATACATGAATATATTGCAGTCTCGGACTCAGACGCTTGCAAAGTGCTGAGAGGCTACTGGCCTTTTATGTTGTTGTTGTTTTTTTTCTTTTTTCTTGCATAAGCTTTAGAAAACGTCCAGGTGGTTTATTCTAATACGACCCTTCTTTTTTTCTCGCCTTTCGCACCAGGGGAGAAGCCCTTCAAGTGCGAGTTCGAGGGCTGCGACCGGCGCTTTGCTAACAGCAGCGACCGCAAAAAGCACATGCACGTGCACACGAGCGATAAGCCCTATCTCTGCAAGATGTGCGACAAGTCCTACACTCACCCCAGCTCCCTGCGTAAACACATGAAGGTAATCGCCGCGCTCTTGCCGCCCGCCTTCCGGGCAGTAGCCCTGTGTGCGTTCGGGCCGGGATCCGGCGGCGCTGGGCAGCTGGGCGGCAGCAGACGCTAGAGGAGCCTGGAAGCCAACAGCTCCACTCTGATGGTCACCGCTAGGCAGGGACTGGAAAAGGGCTTGGAGCACCCAAGGGCATTTAAGTTCACTGTTTCATAATGCAAATAAAAGGAAGGGAGCGCTCCGCAGAGGCCACAGATGAATTTGGCTCAGAGCTGGGGAGCCAGGGCTGCCACCGCGCGCTGGCGCTGCAGAAGCTGCCGCCATTACGCCTGGCAGCGTGGAGCCGAAGAGTTGGGGTCGTGAGCCCAGTCTGAGCACTTGCTCCCCTAAACCTGGGCCAGCACAGTTGAGGAGCCAAGCGTCCCAGACTCTGGCCTCCTCCTTCCCAAGCCTTCGTTCTTTTGCGGGTGTGGGGTGCCGGGACGCTGTCCCTCCCTGGAGCACGGCTTCTGCAGCAGGGCCTGGAGGGGAAACCAGACCGAGTTCGGGGCGCCCAAGAAGGGACGGGCATGGGGGGGGTCCTGGAGACGGAGGGGGCGCTGCCTTCGCCGGCCTGGGTGGCCACCGTGCCGGCTCTTTATCTCCGTAAAAACGCAACTTTATCCCCACAGGTCCACGAATCCTCCTCGCAGGGCTCGCAGCCTTCGCCCGCCGCCAGCTCCGGCTACGAGTCCTCCACGCCGCCCACCATCGTGTCTCCCTCCACAGACAACCCGGCCGCCAGCTCCCTGTCGCCCTCCTCTTCCGCGGTGCACCACACAGCCGGTCACAGCGCGCTCTCTTCCAATTTTAACGAATGGTACGTTTAAAATCAGAAACAAAACACCGAACAAAACACTGTTTCAGAGACTGAGCACACGCGTAGACAACACATTATTGAAAGAACCCTGCGAATCAGAGCAACACCCCGCAACACGCAGACCCCGCAGTCCTAGTTTGTTTTAAATCTGCCAATAGACCCAGGACCGAGGGAGAGAGAGGAAGCATCAGACCTTCTTAAAACGTTTCCCTTTCCTTTCCTTGCTTGCTTTCTTCTTATTTTTTCTCTTTTTGGCAAAGGCTTTGGAGCCAAAGGGCGGGAGGGGAGTCGAGGAGGAAGAGGCTGCCTGACCAAACGCCTCCAACCCCAAGGGCCAATTTCTTGTTAGATTGGTTCAGGCTTTCTGGGGATTCGGCCTTTCTCTCTCTCTCTCTTTCTCCCTCTCTCTCTCTCTCTCTCTCTCTCTCTCTCTCTCT